TATATAAGACACAGAACTGAAGTAAAGATAGGCACACAACAGGAAGATGCATCATACAGGAAATGTATATGGAATAAATTAGTAGTCAGTAGTTTTCAGTGGGTTGAAAAATATACAGCAACATTCAGTTTATAAGTCACAGTTCGAAGATATGTTACAGAAATAAAGCAAATAAAAATTTGGAAAATATATACCTTATAATTATTAAACAAAAACACAAAAATGTGTATTTGTATCTGAAAAATAGATATAAGGAAGAAAACAGCAGGAAGACATATTATACTTTAAAATTTGTACACAATTCTAAACATCAATTCAATTTACATAAAACAATTTTACTATAAGAATAAAGAGTTAAATCTATAAACAAATTAGAATATTTTAATGTTATCTCAGTAATTAATTTTTATAAGACAGGAATAACATTGGTTATGTTCTGTTAGGTTCATACACCAAAATGAATAAGTCTGACCTAACAGATACATATAGAACTGCATACACCAACTGCAGGATGTTTGCTTTTTAGCACAAACTGAATATAGGTAAAACTGACAATATATAGGACCATAAAAAAAAAATCTCCAACTTGCACAGAATGTAATAAAACAGAGACTGTAATAAAACAGAGACTGAAATAAAACAGGACAGAGATTAGTAACAGAAGATGTGAATGAAAACATTTAAAGATGTGCTTGGAAATTAAGTTACGAAATACGAAATAATCCATGCCTGAAGGAAGCAAAGATAATCAAAACTGGAGAACATGTTTTTTGAAAATAATGACACCCCCAATGCCAATTTGATAGGGCTTTTTTTTTTTTTTTTTTTTGTGGTACGCGGGCCTCTCACTGCTGTGACCTCTCCCGTTGCGGAGTGCTCCGGACGCGCAGGCCCGGCGGCCATGGCTCATGGGCCCAGCCACTCCGTGGCATGTGGGATCTTCCCGGACCGGGGCACGAACCCGTGTCCCCTGCATTGGCAGGCAGACTCTCAACCACTGAGCCACCAGGGAAGCCCTGATAGGGCTTTTTAAAAAATTTTTTTTTAAACTGTAAATCGTTTTTTGTTTTTTTTTTAAAATTATTTATTTTGGGCTGTGTTGGGTCTTCGTTTCTGTGTGTGAGCTTTCTCTAGTTGCGGCGAGCAGGGGCCACTCTTCATCGCGACGCGCGGACCTCTCACTGTCGTGGCCTCTCTTGCTGCAGAGCACAGGCTCCAGACGTGCAGGCTCAGTAGTTGTGGCTCACAGGCCCAGTTGCTCCGTGGCATGTGGGATCTTCCCAGACCAGGGTTCGAACCCATGTCCCCTGCATTGGCAGGCGGACTCTCAACCACTGCACCACCAGGGAAGCCCCCTGATAGGGCTTTTATAAGCAGTAATAATGGACAGCAGTCCAGTAAGTTAGGAGAAATAGATGGGATCTGCCCTTGTCTTGAGACTATGGGCTTGGGCTGGTCACCTGACTTCTCTGCACCTCAGTTTTCTAATCATTAAATTGAAGGGGTCTCTATGGTCCTTTAAAGTGTTCAAGCCCTATTATTCAAAGCATAATCTTGTTTTTAAATTATTATAGGATATTCAACTTGAGACTTCGCTTTACAATGTTTGAGAACTAATGATGTCCCTACATATTCTCATGAGATGCAATTAATAAATTACATTAAAAGGAATCTCCAGGCCCAAATGGTTTCACCAGAGAATTCTACCAAACATTTAGATAAGAAATAAAACCAATTCTACAAAATCTCATCCAGGTTGGGGGGGAGGGGGGGTGGGAGAACACTTCTTAGTTCATTTTGGGAGGCCAGTATTACTCAGATACCAATAACAGTACAAAAATAAATAAATAAAATATAGACCAATATGCTTATGATTTCACACATAAAATTTCTCAACAAAACACTGGCAAAAGGAATGTGTGTATATATACACACAGACATACATATCATTATATTCCATGTTCCATGACTGCAGGGATTACTGCAGAAATGCAAGGCTGGTTCAACATTCAAATCCAGTCAATCCATCATATCAACAGGCTACAGAAGAAAAGTCATATGATCACATCAACTGAAGGAAAAAAGGCATCTGACAAAATTCAACACCTATTCATAATGAAAGCTCTTAGCAAATCAGGGAAACCTTCCAAACTAGATAAAAAACATCTATATAAAAACCCACACTATCATCTTATTTAATGGTCAAGCAACACTGAACGCTTTCCCCTTAACATTAAGAACATGACAAGTGAGCCTCCCTGGTGGCACACTAGTTGAGAATCTACCTGCTAATGCAGGAGACATGTGTTTGAGCCCTGGTCTTGGAAGATCCCACATGCCATAGAGCAACTAAGCCCATGTGCCACAACTACTGAGCCCGCGTGCCACAGCTACTGAAACCTGCATGCCTAGAGCCCGTGCTCCGCAACAAGAGAAGCCACTACAACGAGAAGCCCGTGTACTGCAACGAAGAATAGCCCCCACTCGCCAGAACTAGGAAGAAGCCTGCATGCAGCAATGAAGACCCAATGCAGCCAAAAATAAATAAATTTATTTTAAAAAAAAAAGAACAAGACAAGTGTATGCTCTTTCACCATTTCTATTCAACATTGGACAGGAAATTCTAGCTAGTAGAATAAAGACAAGAAAAGGAAATAAAACGGATACACATAAGGAAGAAGTAAGATGTTCACTACCCACTGATAACATTATTGCTTATGAAGAAAATCCTGATGAATCTACCAAAAAAAAAAAAAAAACCCTGCTAGAACCAATAACTGAGTCCAGCAAGGGCACAGGATACAAGGTCAACATATAAAAATTAATATTTTCCTATAACAGTAATGATAACGAGCAAACTGAAATTAAAATCTCAATACCACATATAAAGACTCCAAGAAAAGGTGCATGGATGAAGATCTAACAAAATATGTTCAGAATCTGTAAGGTGAAAATTATAAAACACTAATGAAATAAATCAGAATTTAAATAAATGGAGAGACATACCACGTTCATGGAATGGAAGACTCAACATAATAAAGATGCCAAATCTCACCAAAATGATCCACAATGTATCATCTATAAAAAATCCCACAAGATGTTTTTAAAATATAGACAAACACATGATAAAATTTATACAGAAAAGCAAAGGAAAAAATGACATGGAAAGCTAAATCAATTTTTAAAAACAATAAAGAAGATGGAATCACTTTACCCAATTTTAAGATTTAATGATAGCTACCGTATTCAAGATAATGTGGTATGAGCAGAGGTTTAAATACCCAGATCAACGGGATAATATAAAGAACTCAGAAATAGACCAAAATGAATATGCCCAACTTATTTTTTCCTAAGTTCACTTCAATAGAGGTAGGATAGTCTTTTCCATGAATGGTACCAGAACTGAACATCCTGAGGCAAAAAACACAACCTAAACTTCACATGGTAATACAAAAATTAATTCAACATCGACTAGAGATTTAAATATAAAAGGTAAAACTATAAGACTTTTAGGAGAAAATATACAGGACCTGGAGCTTGCTGAAGACTTCTTAGACAAGAGATGAAAAGCATGAAGAAGGGGCCTTCACAATAATGCCATGGATTAACATAACAAAAATGACCTGTCAATGGGAATACAAAACTAGACATGCGGTCATTTGAAAGGCCCTGAGGAGGGTTCAGAGTGAATGCATGATTATTTTTATGTCTTTCTGTACAGTATATTTCTTAACATGAAGGAATACTATCACGTTGCTCAAAAAAAAAAAAAAAAAAAAAAACCCCAAACTCCAAAGAAGTAATTTCAAAATACCCTGACAAAAAATACTAGTCATTTAGTCATTATACTGGGACTAAGCCAATGGCAACAACTGTGGAACACACATGTACCTGCACCCACACATGCTCATTTCATCTGTTAAAATTCTAGTCACTTTCCTTGACAGTGACTCTTCACACAATCTTTTGTAAGATTAAAAATGAGACTACCTCTCTGCATGTATCATTATCCTTTAGCTTAATTTAGCTATGTGTTTTATTTTGTTCTGGCTCTAATTCGACCTCTAGAAAGTCACTGAGGTGGACCTGAAGAAAATCCTCTAAGGAGGAATCAGAGGGAAGAACTGGGATTCATCGGGGAAGGTCACACAGCTACACTGTCATTGTCACCCCACAGAAAAAAAAGAACAAACAAGTAGATTAAGTATGAGTGTTGGGTGGTTAAAGACACATGACACAGTATGTTCTCAAAAAATCAGTCAAATATGCAGTAAAACGGGCCCACTCATACATACATCTTTATCTCCTTAAATATGAAAGTATTTCATAAGTCAAGCCTTCATATTTCTCATAAAGACATATGCTACTCAAGGATAGAGACAATGTTGTAGAACAAAGTTGGCTTTCAGTAAATATTTTCAGACATACTCTCAACTAACTCTCCTGAAACTGGACAGCAGTGCATGTATATTCGAGACAAATAAAAGGAACAATGCCCTCTGATCTCTGCAACAACACTCCCCTTACCTCAAATAAACTAAGGAAGGGATGACAAATTGCCACAGGCTCATCACGGAAATCTGAAAGCTGTGTTTGCTTTTCTCTCTTTTCTCGTCTCCTCTTTTGTTTATAAATATCCCTGAGATAATTTTGTAGTGTAAACTAAGGAGAAAGATGTGGCCGAGGGTTTTGCTAAGTGCACAATAAAGATTGGATCACTCTCCTGTGTGAATTTTCAGATACAGAATAAGTTTCTAGGCTGAGGCCATTTCTAACATGACTCTTTAGATGACAACTGATAACCTGCAATAGCTTTTCTCATGGGGAAGAAAAATGAGAGGTTTCTCTTTGGTATGAATGATCAGATTCTGAGTAAGATGCTACCTCTGGCAAAAGATTTTCCTCAGTCGTTACATGCAAAAAGCCTTTCGCCAATAGGAGTTCTTGAAGACTGACTGAGGACTGCCCACTTGTGAAGGTTCTTCCCACATCTGTCACACTGACAGGGTTTCTCCCAGTATGAACCCTCTGATGCTGAGTGAGGGATGAGCTGCGACTGAAGGCCTTTCCACACTCACTGCATTCATAGGGCTTCTCTCCAGTGTGGATGATGGAGTGTCGAATGAGGCTTGTGCTCCAGCAGAAGGTTTTCCCACACTCGAGGCATTCATAGGGCTTCTCTCCACTGTGAATACGCTGGTGCCTGGTGAGGCCTGACCTGCGGTTAAAGGCCTTCTCACACTCCATGCACTTGTAGGGCTTCTCTCCAGCATGGATGTTAATGTGTCGAATGAGGTCTTTCCTAGTGCTAAAAGCTTTCCCACATTCTTTGCACTCAAAAGGTTTTTCTCCAATATGGGCCCTTTTATGCAAGATAAAAGTATAGCAGTAGGTAAAGGCCTTTCCGCATTCAGTGCACACATAGGGCTTCTCTCCAGTGTGGATGATGGCATGTCGAATGAGGTTTGCCCTTTGGCAAAAGGCTTTGCCACATTCCATGCATTCATAGGGCTTCTCTCCACTGTGAATCCGCTGGTGTCTGGTGAGGTATGACCTACGGTTAAAGGCTTTCCCACATTCCATGCACTCATAAGGCTTCTCTTCCGTGTGGATGCTAAAGTGTCGAATGAGGTCTGACCGATTACTAAAGGCTTTCCCACATTCTTTGCATTCATAGGGTTTTTCTCCAGTGTGGGCTCTTTTATGTAAAATAAAAGTGGAACAGTGGGTAAAGGCCTTTCCACATTCACCGCACACATAGGGCTTCTCCCCAGTATGACTCCGCTGGTGCTGCTTGAGGTGTGACCTGCGGTAGAAGGCCTTCCCACACTCAAGGCACTTGTATGGCTTCTCTCCAGTGTGGATGACATAGTGTTGGATGAGGTCTGTGCTGTCACAAAAGCCTTTCCCACATTCGTTGCATTCAAAGGGTCTCACTCCACTATGAATCTGCTGGTGCCAGGTGAGATGTGATCTGCGGTTGAAGGATTTCCCACACTCCACACACTCAAAGGGCTTCTCTCCCGTGTGGATGATGTAGTGTCGAAGGAAACCTGTCTTATCTCGAAAGGCTTTCCCACATTCTTTGCACACAAAGGGTTTTTCACCAGTGTGGCTTCTGTTATGTAAGACTAAATTGGAGCGGTGGGTGAAGGCCTTTCCACACTCACTGCACTTGTAAGGCTTCTCTCCAGTGTGAATCCGCTGGTGCCTCGTGAGGTGTGACCTGCGGTTGAAGGCCTTCCCACACTCTGTGCACTCATAGGGCCTCTCCCCGGTGTGGATCATGTGGTGCTGGAGGAGGTGTGTGCTCTTAATAAAGGTTTTCCCACACTCTGTGCATTCATAGGGCTTCACAGCAGAGTGAATCTGCTCATGTCGAACAAGGAAGCAATTCTTGTTAAAAACTTTCCCACATTCCTCACACTTATAGAGGTGTTTCCCTTCATGTATCAAGGGTCCTTTCACTGGTCTACGTGAGTCACATTCATAAAGAATATCTCCTGGAAAGACTCGCTGCTGAACAATCCTTGAGTGAAGACCATCAGGTGTCCCTAAACCACCATGTTCAGGGCTCATTTTCCCAGAGAGCTTCTCCCTTTGGGGGTCCATCCCTGGTCTCAAGTAGCCTTCATGCATTTCCAGTGGCCCATCCTGATCCTTGGTTTGTCCCAATAGGGAATCCCCTGAGGCTCGCTGAGTCAGTTGTTCCTGGGGTGAGACTTCCTCAGACAAGGCCAGGTGAGAAGGGGTAGGCTCTGTGGTGTCAGCTTTTGTGTTGTCACCTGAAGGGAATACAATACACAAAAAGGCATATAAGTGATGGCAACACAGAAGAAACTAAATCACCATGTCAGTGAGAAGAAGATGAAAATAGTGGCTCTGTACCTGCTGCGTTTTCAAATCTCTGAAACCCAGGTGTGCAATTTCTTTCTTTTTGGTTCTTAGATTCTTGAAAATTTTAGAGGGAAAACCCAAAGGGACAGCATAGGCAGGGGACAGAATGTCTGGGGACGAGGGGCAGGTAGACAGAGGAATGATGACACTGTGTGTGGTGAGTGCTCGAAGCCAGAACATCTCAAGGTGCTACAGGAAGCCAGCAAAGGGGCACCTAGTGCAGTAGGTGGGAGACAGGAAGAGGTCATGCAGGCTTCCCAGATGCAGCCAGACCTACTGACATATAGAGAAAATGGGAAGGCCCTTTCAGCCTTTGGAAATACAATGAACAAAGGCACAGAGTCTTCCAGAATCAGGGAACTGCCGTGCATGAGAGGATAAGGTCCCAAGATGGGATTAGTGTCCTTACCAGAAAAGATACTAAGGAGCTTGCTTCTTTTCTCTGCCACATGAGGACAGAATGAGAAGGCTGCCATCTGCACACCAAGGAGCAGGCCCTCATCAGATGCCAGATCTGCCAGCACCTTGATCCTGGATTTCCCAGACTCCTGAACTGCGAGAAATAAACGTTTGTTACTTAAGCTGCCCACTCCGTGGTATTCTTGTTACAGCAGCCAGACTAAGGACGGTATGAGTAATGTTCTCATTCTGGAGTTTGGTGATGTTAAGAATATTATTTTCAAAAAGAAACAAAGGAGCAAATAATTTAATTAATACATCAATTAATCAAGGTCATTGATGAATCAGTGATGATAATGTCCCCATAAAACCAAAGTTTATGATTAACTGAAACCTGTACCTGAGGTCCACTAAACAGAAGTTAGAGGTCACATGGGTATTATGGTTAAGAACATGGTCTCTGACCACAAAAACCCTAGGCCCAAATTCCAAAAGAACGCAATATTAGCTTTGTGGCATCTGGTAAGGCACTCAAATTCCATAGGCCTTCATTTTCCTCTTCTGAAAAATAAAGCTAAAAATAGAGCCCACCTTGTAGGAATGCTATGAGGATGAAGTGAAACACTACATATACCATGTTCTGAAGGGTGCCAGACACAGGGCAAAAAAGTCAATAAATTAGCTTTAATTTTTTATTATGGGTTAGTCCAATAATGTACACCTGGGACCTAACTAGGCAACATGTAAATTGGAGGTGTGAGAATGAGAATGTGCGGATTAACCTTGGAGAGCACTTAAGAGTAAAGAGAAAGCCATGAGATGCCCGATGAGCCAACATTCAAGTGATGACCAGAGAGGGAGAATGAAGGTCCAGTGAGAAGAGGGGCAAAGAATCCAAGAGGGTCAAATGCTCAAACACGACACAGTCTGAAAAGTCTGTCTTGTGTCCTGAGCTCATATGGCGTGGCGGGCAAGAATGCTCGCTCTGGAGCAGAACAACTTGACTCAAATTCTGCCAGCTAGCTAATGTTGGACAAATTCTTAGCTGTTTCCTGTCTAAGCTTCCTTGTCTGAAAAACTGAGAGGCTCTCAGTTTCTGCCTCATAGGCTGTTGTGAAAGCTAAATGAGAAAATGTCTGTAAAGCACTGGGCACAGTGCTAGGTGTGTTCAGTAAATTGTGGCCCATTGCTCATGATCGTTTATGGTTGTGCTGTATTTGAAGATTAGGAGCAAAGCAGTGACCGTGTAAGGAAGAGTTTCAGTGCTGTGGTGCAGAGGAACCTCCCCCAGACATCAAAGAGCAAAGGGAACATTACCAAGAGCTGCCAAGGATAGGGACAGATGGAGTCTTTCATAGATGAATGGTGGGGATGTTAAAGGGGGCAGACACTCTGCAGAACTGTCTGGCAGTTTCTATCAAAGCAGAACATACAGCTACTCCAAGACCTGACCTGCACACATACCAGAATGTATTCCTAAAGGAAATCAGTGCTTACATGCACCAAAAAACATAACATGAATATTCTCAGCAGCATTAAGTTGAAAACAACAGGAGTGCCCATCAGGAGGGGAATGGATCAATGAAGGGCAATTTTTCAAGCAATGAGCTATTATACCGTATTAAGAGTAAACAAATTCCAACCCCAGGCAACCACATGAAAAGAATCTCAGACGTGATGATCAAAAGAAGGCACATATGACAGACAACATGCTATGGGGTTCAACAGTCAAAACTAATCGGTGCCAACAGTCTAAATAGGGGTTACCAAGCACAAGGGGCTATCGAGGGCATGAGATCCCAATGAGATGCTGGAAATATTCTACATATTGACTGAGGTGGTGCTTACGTGGGTTAAACATACCCAAGCATTCATGAAGTTAACCTCTTAAGATTTTTACACAACACAGGGTGTGAATTACACCTCATTCAAAGCGTGCGAGAAAATTTTAGTAAATGAGATGGACGGAACTCAAGCGTAGACATCTCTTGCAAGAATGAGACAGTTTCTCCAAGAAGATGGATTTTACAGGGAAAGTAGAGTCAATGTCAGTGTGAAGCCATCAGAGAGGCAGAAGCATTTTCCATTTACTTTCCCCGAATGTGAGGCAACTGAGCATATCTTTGTTACAAAAGAGGCAGAAAAGGTGAGAAGCAGCAGTTCCCTGAAAAGGTTTGGCCTAGACTCTGGTACATGAATTGGCCTTGGTCAGGGGTGAGATCTCCTCTACGGAGGTGAGGAGGCAAGCTACACATATGAGAGATTTAGATGAATGTGGAAGGGTTTAAGAATCAAGCAACACAAGGATACAGGCTCTGTTTTCTTTTTTAAGACTTTTGATGTGGACCATTTTTAAAGTATTCGTTGAATGTGTTACAATATCGCTTCTGCTTTATGTTTTGGTGTTTGGGCTGCGAGGCATGCAGGATCTTAGCTCCCCGACCAGGGATCGAACCTGCACCCTCTGCATTGGTAGACGAAGTCCCAACAACTGGACCGCCAGGGAAGTCCCACAGGCTCTACCTCGACATGAAAACGTGCTGAGGGCTCAGTGGCTGTGGGAGTGCTGAAGGTTGGGAACAAGATCTTGGTGGCTGCAGGGGCCACCGTGGGAGACAGGGCTGACTAGCGGCACAGAGGAGGTGTGGGGAGACCAGCCAGGAGTGTGCTGGCATCATCCAGGCAAAAGCTGAAAACCTGGACCGAGGTTGTGGGGGGCGCGTCTTCTCCTGGTGGTGGAGGTGACAGACTCAGGAGGCGTGCATGCAAAACAGACAGCATTTGGAGGGCTTGGTGGAGATGGGGGTGTTGAGGAGTTATCTGAAGCTGCACCCAGCCTTTTAACATGCACGGGAGGTGGGAGGAACGGGCAAGGTCAAAAGGCCCCTCTTAGGCATGTTGAACATGAGGTGCCTTGAGGTTTAAGCAAACAGGAGGGATAGGAAGACTAGGGCGGAGAAGTGCTTCTGGGTGTCTGACTGACGCTCAGAGTGTGGGTGGATGGAGAAGGTGGGAAAGGGTAAGATACAGAGCATAATTAGAAAGGCCCTGTTTACTTGCAGTTCAGAAGGAAATATGAGATACTATCATTACTCACTAGCACTAATCCCACGATGTTAATAATACTAACAGCTTACTTTTGCTGAGCCACTCACTATGGGTCAGGCCAAGTGAGAAGCAGTTTCATACATAATCTATTACATCCTCCAACCACCCAATGAGACAGAAACGATCATGACTACAATTTCTCAGGAACAGACTGAGTGTAACAGACCACACTAATCAAACCATTTCATTCCTTTCCTTGAAAACACTCAGCCTCATATCCCAGCCCCAGGCACCAAATGACAAAGTCGAGTATCTTGTCAGTGGAATGTGAGTGGAAACAATGTGTTGGAAGTTGGTGTGACATTTTCCCTTCTCTGTTTTCCCTCTGCCAGCTGAAGGATGCCAGGAACCCTGAAGGTCTCACGCTGATGACAGAAGGTAGCTGAGTCCCTGAATAACTGTGTGGTCAGAGCTCCCTACTGATCCACATCACCCTTGGTTCAAGAAAAATACTTTTCGTGTGCTGAGCCATGGAGATTTTGGAATATACCTGTTAGAACAGCTAGATTTACCTTGGCCAAACTTATATACAAAGGCACAACGGGATCATGGAACTTCCCCAGGGCCACAAGGCTGTGTGGTGTGTCACACCTAGTTTTTAAGCCCAAGTACGTGGAGCCGAGAGCCTGAACTTACCTGATACGCCCCACACCTCCCCAGGAGCAGTGGAGAGTGTTATGGGGTAGAAGGACCACAGGTTAAAAGGTTCCACAGATCCCATGCCTCCAGAGAGAACATGACAAGAAAATTCTCACAAATTTTATAGGCAATGGTCCTCCTGCTATCTGCAACCTGCTGTGATGCCCGCTTGGCCAGCTGTTGGCACTTACCTGGGCAGGAGCTTGGGGAGAGGCCTCTCTTCCACGTCTGTAACTCTGGGCTGTGCTCCAGTGGGTGGATCAGCTCTGCCTTGGGCAAAGGACATCCTGTTCACAGAGAAAAAAGAGAACATGAGGATTTTGGTGAGAAGAAAGAAACCTTTCAACCCAGATTGGGACTGCAGGATTTGGAAGAGACCTCGGAATGCAGCTGCTCCCATCTAGGCAAACAAAATGCTGCAACTGGGAAACAAACTGTAAGAACACCATCCTTTGTCCCCGAAGACTGTAGACATTAGTGCTGGCTGCATAGGCAGCACCAACTCCCTTGGATCTCCATCCCACAGAACCCAGCACCGTTCAGACGTACCTCCTGAAGACGTTTTCTAATTCATTCAAGTCAGGGACCTCAACCTCCTGTGCATCAGCAACACCTGGGATGCCCAGCTACCACCACACAGCAGTTCAAACAAAATCTCTGGGAAGGGCCTGGGCATCAGATTTTTAACGCTCCCCAGGTGATAGTAGCCAACCTAGCAGGCTAAGAAGCCCTGGTCTCCAACATCCCACAAATGGCATCATCGGTATCTGAGGTAGGCAGGTGACCTACGACAGCTGCTCTGAGTAAAAAGAAAGCTTTATTTCAGGAAGGGCTGAGTGAGGCCCCTGCAGCTCCTGCCATCCAGAAGCATCTTGCGACTCCTGTGAGGGAATCAGCCTGAGCATCAGAACCAAGGAAGCAAAGAAACAGATACCTGGGTTGGCACCCCCAACGTGGAAGCCAGCATCACCTCTGAGCTGCTTCTTAGATAATAAATTTCCTTCAGGGTGTAGACTGTTTGAGCTGGTCTGTCATGTGTACCCAAACATATATCAACGGATGTGGGGGTAAAGACTATAAATAAATCAATGGCAGAGGTACCAGGACCCGCACAGAAAGTGCATCTGCAGATCCTGAACCAAAGCTCAGGATTCGTTGGTCATCACTAGGCAAATGTTCACTCCTGTCTGCTACATGCTCAGCATGGGGCTCAGGGACAGGGCAGTGGAAAGTGAAGGAGTCTTTCTTCAGCTGTCAGGAGTCATGCTCCCTGCAACCACAGGGCCTTTGCACGTGCTGTCCCTTCTAACTGGAAGGCTGTTTTTTTCCCTACTTTGCTTGTTCTAGATTACTCTAATTCTTTGGGTCTCAGCTCAAATGTCACTTTCTGAGATTTCACTGAACTGTGGCTCCTGAGCCCAGGTGCTTCATCAATCTGCCATGTTGCCACGGAATTTTTAAATCCTAACAGTTAAGTCAAAACTAATATTTAGTCGACTTCCTGTTTCCAGTTCTGCCTGTAAGGAGATTCCAGGTCGCCACTCCATCCTAACAAGTGGCAAGCTGAACAGACTGAAAAGTCAACAAGTCTTCTTGGATCAATAACAGAGGGGAGGAAACAAGGTAAACTGCTATCCCCAGGACTGGAGACACCAGGAATACAGTGAGTCACAGCTTACAAGAGCAGAGACTCATGAGCAGAAACTGCCACAGGAACCAGCGCCAGGATAGGAAACCTGAACGGTAATGAATGGATTGGTGGAGGTTCAGTGCAGACAACCCTGACAGTAAAAAAAAACTCCAGGGAATGCAGTCACTATGAAATTTCTCTCCAGAAGCTCAACCAAGTTCCCACAAAAAATAGAAGAGAAAAATCCCCTTGGGCTTCTGGCAGGGGGGAAGGAAAAAGAGCCAATTCTGAAATATACCAGAGCACTCTCTTTAACCAGGCCTGTTCTCAGAAGAAACTAGTTAACCAGATCCTAAACTGCTGGGGTTTTATCAGAGCCTAAATGGCCTGGAAGAAGGGAAATACCCAACTCCAGTCAACTTTGGCCATCCTGTCCTACCTTAGTGGAGGAGATAAACACTTGTGACATTCACAATCCAGAGGGATAGGCCCACTAAAAGACTGAGACCAAATCATAGAACTATAAGAACACTC